TTACTGCCACTACCGTCCTTATCTCTTACCTTCCTGTATCTTGCGTTTACAATCACCATGGCTTTAAGGCTTTCTCAGGTCCACAGAATGTATAGTAAACCGGAATCTCGAGTCTATTCTCAACTGTGTTAACCGTGTTTCAATGTGGAGGTGTTTAATAAGATGAATTTCTTTTGTTTTTTGATAATGGTGCGTTCTCCTCCGGTAATACATTTTTTTGAATGGTGCCTCTCGTCATTCTGCGGATAGATGTGCTGGTTTGTTGGATAATTTGAGTTAAGGCTTTTGGAAATCGCCATTAGCACTTGAATACTCGTCATTAAAGCGATGACTAATAAATGTCATGAATATGTGGAAGTTGCATTACTCCTTCTCCTTTTGCCTGACTGTATGCGTAAAGCTAGGTTGTAAACCAATTCCATTGCCTTGAACATTGGGATAGGATTCGGATTAACTAAAACATCCTTTTGTAAAATGAATAAAGCACTCCCTTTTTATATGTGTGGGCCGCCTTTTATTCCTTGTGCCCTCAGAGAGACAATAGAGTAGTTCCACTCGATAGGGAAACTTTCAGATAATGATATAAAGCTCGCTGGCAATCAAGTTTGCACATCTGAAGACTGCACTACTTTAACTAGATTAGTGTCTTGCCTTTTTGATACCCCTGTCCGTGATTATTCATTCATTCTGACAGTTTGCAAGACAATGCAGTTGCGACATTCTGATGTGCTTTGCCTATAGTTTTAAACAAGATGACATTGCATTGCCATTGACAGGTCCATGCATTTTCTAGCACATTTGACAACTTTGTCTTGCAAGACTGTTTAAACGAATAATCTATTCTTTTATAGTTGGCATTTGGTCAGAGCGATTTATTCGCTACTACTTCATGACCTTGTGATTACTAGGTGTAAACTTGCCCTAAACGACAAGACGGACAGCGATTGGCTCACCCATATGCCAAATTTGTCCCAATTTAAAGGTGTATGTTCGGCCATGGGCAGAGAAGCTTGAATGTCCGATCATCTCATTGAACTATTCACTGGCACCGGAGTCGCCATACCCGCGGGCCCTGGATGAGTGTTTCCACGCCGTGTGTTGGGTGATGGCCAACAGGGAGCGGTTGGGAGCGAGACCGGACGCGCGGGTAGTGGTTTGCGGCGATTCTGCTGGTGGCAATCTAAGCCTCGGTGTGTGTCTTCGTGCAGCCGCCCTCGGTCTGCGCTCCGACGTTGCACGCCCTGCAGGGGCTCTTATTGCTTACGCACCTGCCATCCTCGCTTACGTGCCATCGCCCTCGCGCATGCTCTCCATTTGCGATCCTCTTCTCCCAATCGGTGTTATTTCGCGCTGCATCATGGGTATGGCTTCCCTTTGAGAGGATAGTTAAACAGATGGACTGATGCTTCTAAAAAGGGGGGTTTTCGGGCGAGTGAATGATTTGAATGGGCTTACGGGTGGGGTTGAAGCTGAAAATACGAGTTGGAGGTTGAACTGGTTGGCAAACTTATGGATTTCGAATAGATTGGCCCTTGAAATGGTGGTTAAATTTTTTAGTGGCTGATTTATTCCGCGAGCTCTCTGTCGAAGGAGTGACTGATCGTGCGATGTGCCTAAGAATTTACTTGAATGGATAAATGTTAGTTTTATTTGCTTCAACGCTGATTGTATGTGTATGTATACACTCAAGCATATAATCAGTTTCCAGAATAAACAAAGAGGGACTTAAATACCTGGAAGCT